GGACAGGCCACCTTTACATGGAGAAGTGGGGTGGGGAGGTGCTGGACCCCTGACTTGCAGTGAGAGGGGACAGCCCGCAGGCCACCTTCCCCCCGGGGAGGTGTGGTGGCCCCCCTCACAGGAAAAGGGCACCAGTTGGGACCTTCTCAGCGTCCTTACTCCCAGAGCCCACATGCCTGCCAGCGAGGGGCTGGACACTGACCTGGCCTTCCTGCAACTCCAGGAGGAAGCAGTTCTTGCTTCCTTAGCTCAAGTATCCCCTCTGTGAGCCCCAAGCTCGAGCTGCCCTGCACCCCGACTTCACAGACAGCCCATCGCAGCAGTGTGCGGCTGGGATGGGTCCTGCCATCCCAGAAGGCCGCGGGCTTCCGTGGAACAAGGGGGGTCAGTCTGTCCAAGGTCAGGCCGTGTGGTAACGGACTGCAGCCAGGGCCCCACGATCCCAGGGAAAGAGCATTATAGGGGGTTCCCCCTCGGGGCGCTGACGGGGATCGGACCCCTTACACCTCGCTGACCCCTCCCCTGAGCTGTCCCACGTCCAGCACCCTCGGGGATCGCCCACCGCAGATAGGGAGCGGGCGCCGAGGGGCACAGAGCAGGCCCCCCGGAACGCCGGCACAGGGGGTCGCCGGGGTCCCCGTCCCCGCGGTGGGGGAGCTCTGGGGGACCCTGGAGTGGAGGGCCGAGGGGCAGGTGGTGAGGGGGCTCGGTCCCCGCACGGTTGGGGGACCCCGGCTGTCGAGGCCCCCGCTGGCGCCCGCTCCCTGCCCAGGTGTGCTCCCAGCGCTCACCATGGCTCAGCCGGTCAGGCTCGGGCCCCGCGCGGCCCTCGGGGCAGTCCCGCTCGTCCGGCCGCCCCGCCGCCTCGTCCCCGCCGTCCTGGGGCTGCGCCGCGTCCGTGCGCCCGTCCACGGGCACCACGGTGAAGTTGGTGGGCATGGCGGGCTCGGCGCCTGTGCGTCCCGCTCCGCCCGCGCGCTCTGCTGCTCCCGGAGGCTCACTGACCACGCCCCGGACGGCGTCCGCCTCCCGGACGGCCCCGCCCCGGACAGGCCCCGCCCCGGACAGGCCCTGTCCAGGCCCCGCCCCGCCCAGGTCCGCGCCCTCCTCACCACCTTCGGCCATGCCCCGCCCTACCCAGGACCCCGCCCCGGACAGGCCCCGCCCCCGGCCAGCCAGGGCCTGCACTGGACAGTCCCTGATCCCGCCGGCCAGACCCCTAGAAGTCCCCGCCTGCGCAGGTGACGCACTGACCCGCCGCCCCCGCGATCCCTGCACTTTCTCCGTAGCGCTGCCCCGCCTGACCCCTGCACCTGCCCTAGCTGGCCACCGGCACCCCAGCCAGGCCTCGCGCGGAGTCCACACACTAGGCCCCTTCCTACATCGCCTGCCCTTCCTCTCCCCTTTTCCGGAGCCCTCGGGTCACCCGCTCTCCCCTCACCCCACGGCTGAGCGCAGTTCACGGGCTGAGCCCCCAGACGGCATTTTTTGTGGACACCCGGCTTACTCAGATGGGGTGCCGGGTCTCTTGCCCCAAGGGACATCGTGGCCCACAGGAGCAGGCTTCCCCAGAGAAAGGATGTACAACCGAAAAGCCCCCCAGCTTCGCCACCCTTTCTCCCTGCCCTGACGTGCCCGAGGGAAACGCCAAAGCCCAGGCGAAGCCCCAGAGCCACCCGAGGACTGGTCAAACTGCACGCAGTTGCCCCAAAACCATGTCCAACAAACAGGTGCACCAGGGTGCTCCAAGCCCCCTGGATCAGTAGGGAAGGCCGAGAGGCCGCATCCTGTGTCAAAAAGGCCAGTGTCCATTGCCAAGGAGAAGTGGGAGGACGCCAGGTCCCACATTGTCTGAGTAAACACCAACTCCAAGTCCAGTTCCAATGAGAGGCCAAAGAGCAATACTGGGCAGCTGTGTGTCCCCACCCCACAACCATCCTCACTTGGGGTCTGCAGCGGAAACAGGGGCCTGGAGGTGCCAAAAATAACGCCCTGTCCAGCCCCCTGTGCAATGGCTGCCCAAGGGACACCTCCCACTGTGGAAGAGTGGCTTTGGGAAGTGGGGGCCCAGAGGACACCTCCCCAGAGTGGGCAGGTGCGGAAGGCATGGGAGAGAGCCCCCAGCAGGGATTAAATGGCTTTCCTTTATCCTTCCCAGGGAGAGGCTGGCCATGGTGAGAAAGGAGGACATCGCTCCTGGTAACCACAGATGTGGGTGGTGGGGGCGGGAGCGCAACACTTCCAGCCTGGCTGGCCTGGTGGACCCTGGTCCAGCTGTGTGTGACCACAGTCCTCATCACACCGTGAAGGATGGAGGGACAGGCAGGAAACAGGCCCAGGAGCCAGGCTGGAGTTGGGACCCCAGAACACACACTGAAGTCCCAGCCCCCATAACTTCAGGTGTCCTTGGGGAAATGGAGTGTTTTGTTTTGTTTTGTTTTGTTTTGTTAATGAAGTCAGAGGAGAGTAAGGCTGGTCCTGAACATCTGATTCCTCAGTTGGTGCCTTATAAAAGGAACAGAACCCCCGGGGAGAGGCAGACAGGTATAACCTGGAGAAGGTGCAGTCAGAGTACTCCTTGGGGGCAAAGATGGTCAAGTTTCATCTCTCACACTTTGGACGTGTAGCTAGGAGAGGCTGATCCTTGAAAAGGACATCATGCTTGGAAAGATGGAGGTCAGTGGGGTGAGGAGGACACCTAGTGAGATGGACACGGTGCCTTCAGCCATGGGCCCCTGTGTGCCAGGGGTGGTGAGGATGGCACGGGACAGGATGGGGTTCAGGTCAGCCGTTCTAGGGTCACCATGAGCCGCTCTCAACGGGATGGCACCTACCACAACTCAAGGCTGGAAGGGACCTCGGACCTCTGACCTCCTGAACACAGACAGGGAAGTCTTGCTGTCCGGAGCCACCCACTTGGGGTCCAGCAGCCCCAGGGAAGGAAGAGAGCCCTCCAGCATGTCCGCAGTGACCACAGCCCCAGGCTGCGGCTGGCCCTCAGCCTTTCTGGACACGAGGCCCTGAGTTTATGAGGGACAATGAAAAAACCTGGGAGCGACGTCAGTGGCGTGACACAGTGACGGTGATGAATGCCCCAAATTGTCCAGGACAATGATGTTGCCATGGCAACATGATTATACCCACACTTGTTCCCAAGACTTTCCCCCCAAATCAGCTGTGTTCATAAGTTGCAGGTGAGACCTGGGTGGGTCATTCCATTTATAAAGCTAACCTCTCTCCCCGGCGCAAGCTGAGCCCCCAGAGCCTTGACATCCCTGGCCCCCAACCCCAAATCTGCTCTTCATCTGCCAGGCACAGCCTCCGTTTGCTTTCTGATGTCCCGACCTCAAGAATGCCAGCCCACCACAGCCCTCACTTTTTCAGAGCTGTCTCCCACAAGGTGAGCCCTACAGAGCTGCCCATAGCCAGAAACTCAGTATCCAGAATAAAACAACTGCCTTTGAGCTGTGGTGCTGGAGAAAAATACTGACCATAACACGGACTGCTAAGAGAACTAACAGGTCAGTCCTGGAGAGGGTGAAACCAGGCTGCTCCTTGGGGGCTAGCATTTGGAAGCTCCACGATCTACTTTGGGCACATGTCCAGGAGGGACCAATCCTTGGAGAAGGACATCATGCTCAAAAAGGGTGGAGGGACAGCGCAGGAGAGGAAGACCCCAAATGAGATGGGTTGACATTGATATGGTGACTGTGGCGATGGGGTCAGTTGTGTCAGACAGTGAGGACGGTTCAGGGCAGGGCTCAGAGCCATTATTCATAGATGGCACGTGCCAACAACAGCAGGGGTCAGTGTCCTGTGGACACCGTGTCCTCTTCAGAGGGACGGACAGTGACTGCAGCAGTGGTTAAGCATGCTTGGACATGTTTGGCAGAGATCTGAGGATGGGACAGGGTAGGCCAAGCTTTCCATCTGTGTTCGCTGGGTGGTCCTGTCTTCATCCACCTAACACTGCCCAGGGGCCCAGTGTCTCGCTCCCTGCGGCCTCCACCTCCAGGGCTCTCTGTCAACGGTGAACTGGGCTCTCCTCTCTCGTTCACAGGGTCTCCCAGGCTGTTGTTCAGAAGTGAGGGGCCAATCCCCCCTCCTGGGCACCCTGCTTTTCATACAGCCTGACAGACAAGGGCTGTGCCCGGGGCAGCAGACAATAAACAAGCAAACACAACAGGTTACTCCCCCAGTACAAGCACCACCAGGCACATCCAAAATCAAACCCTAGAGAAAAACAAGCACAGCTCTCCTGACGCAGGTGCCGGGGTCCCTGAGCAGACGGCACAAGGTCCAGGAGTCCTCTGGGGACTAAGGTGCGCCTGATGCAGGCCGTGGTCTTTCAGATCACTGCTCTGCATCTGAAAACTGGACAATGAATAAGGATAACTGAAGAATCAATGCCTTCAAACCATGGTGCTGGAGAAAAGTACTGAATAAACCCATGGATTTCCAAAAGAACAAACATACGTGTTAGGGTGCAACCAGAGTGCTCCTTGGAGGCGAAGATATTGACGCCTCATTTCACATACTTTGGACATTTTGTTAGGAGAGGCCATTCCTTGGAAAGGGACATCATTCTCAGAAGGGTGGAGGGTCAGTGAAGAGGAAGACCGTCAATAGGATGACTTGACACATTGACCTGGGCAGTGGGCTCAGGTGTGTCAGAGATGCGGATGGCACGGACAGGGTCCAGGTCTGTTGTTTGTAGGCTCTCTAACCCCATCTAACAAGGACGAGATGTGGACGCCTGATAAGGAGCTTTGTGTGAGCTCAAATCCATCAGCTGCTCTGGGAAGAAGGTGGACAGTGTCCTCCCACGCCATGTATGGCCTCTGAAGGAGGAATTTCCAGGTCACTTTGATGGAATGCCAACAGGTCCATCCCCTCAGGGCATCATTCCACACAGGCCTGGAGGGACTGCCCACGGCCTCAGGGCACCTTTCTCTGGGTCCCTGTAGGCTACCTGGCCATCCAGGCCTGGTCTCCGTCCTGGGTCCACAGGCCAGCGCTCAGTACATGCCCCCCAGAGGAGGGAGCTGACCTGAGGGGAGTCCCCCTTGCACACTGGCATGGACACTGGGAACGTCCTCCTCGGAGACCCTAGCTTGTCCTCACAGCCGGCACTGGCCTTGGAGGGGGCTTCTGATCCTGTGCCTCTCAGTGGTGGGAGAAGGGAAGAGCAGGCAGGAAAGAGAGGGGGAGGTGGGGGGAGGCAGGGAAAGGGAGTGTGGGAGAAACACGGATGAAGGGGGAAGAGGAGAGCCGGAGGGAGGGAGGAGGCCACAGTCAGAGGAGGGCAGCAGGGGGAAGGGCGCCTCCAGCTGCCCAGCTCTAACAACAGTAAAGTAAAGGTGGGGAGTCCCTCGCAGCAGGACACGTAGAGGCCGGAGGGCACAGGCCCCTCCCCCTGGACCCTCCGCCAGCAGGACCTCAGCCAACATCACCCCTGTCCCCTCCCCCAGGTGAGGGCTGGGAGAGTCTCCACTGGGGACCCTGTCTCCATCTGAAATGACCCAGCAAAGAGAAGAGAAGCCCCTCCTCCTGCTGCCTGCCTGTGCATGCCTCCCTCTGAGGACAGGGGACAAGCAGCAGGACAGAAGGACAGCAGGACAGCAGGACAGCAAGCAGGACAGAAGGACAGCATGACAGCAGGCAGGACAGCAGCAGGACAGAAGGACAGCAGGACAGCAGCAGGACAGCGGCAACCCTGGTGGACTCAGAGCCCCAGGTCCCCCCTCCTGAGTCATGTCTGGCCTCAGTACCCCACTGCTTACCCTTATAGCTGAGCCCAAGGCCCTGAGGGGCCAGGAGAAGAGGCCAGACTGGTGTCCAGCCAGTGCCAGGCCTACCATCCAGAGGGGACAGAGAGGGCACAGCCCCTTAATGGACACAAGGAGTGAGGCCACCGTCCAGTGCAGCATATATAGACC